CGAATTTAATAAGGAACAGTTTTAAATGTCAATTTTGTCAAAAGCATTCCTAGGCGACTTGTCGAGAAGTTTTATATGTTTTAAAGTAGGAAGACAAGTGACAATGAAATATTTTTAATCCAAATTATAAACAACGACTCAATATGTTACTTTAATTTATATAATTATGAAAGTAGCCTCAAGGTATTTTAAAACTAACCTCTGTACGCTTTCGTTCACAATGTAGCTGCTTCATTTCTTTAAATTTCGTGAGAATATTCGTCCAGTAACAATAATTCTTGTATATTTTGAGTTGATTTTGTATGAAAGTAGCAAAACGAGCTCGTGTTGATAAAGAAAGTCTGAGGCTCTCCACTCCTTCAGAGTTGTAAATCCCGTTTCGCGGCGTTATAAAGACATAATACTCCAAATTTTTTGCTCCAAATTCTTCTTGTATGCTTCTATCGTTGTGATTGTAAAATCGGGTGGCGGCCGGTGACTTCCGGCTTCACTTTTGTATACGATAGATGCGCTATCCAGTCTTATTTCAGATCAGTGGGTAAAATAAGAAATTTTCTAAAAATATATCGCTAAAATTATCGGCATTCGAACTTACGCGCTTATTATACGCCGTTGTTCGAATGCCGATAACTTCAAAACTAGGCAATAAAACGCAAATCCCAGCGGTAAATTTTTAGAAAATTTCTTATTTCACCTTGTCACGTTAAATCCAATAAAAAAAATTAAAAATCCTGACCCCCTGGAAGCTTTACTTAAGACCCTATATTTTCTATTCAAATGTGTTTTTTTATCAGAAGTAGAAACCAATTACGCATTCTGATTGGCTTAGAGCGAAAATGAGAACAAATGCATTGATTGGTCAAGAACGAAATTCCTCCTTGTTCCTACAATATATATTTTGGAAATTCATTGTTGTATAGTTAAAAGTAATACTGAATCTCTCAACTATTTTTGCCGCTTTATATAAAATTAAAAAATTATTTATATTAAAGTAATAAAGATTAAATATTTTAAAATTATCGTATCGCCATGGTAACACGACAACCCAACGCGAGCCTGCGTTCAATGTTGGCCAATTACTAATACTTCATGTTAATTCAATGTATTTCTGGTAGTAGTGATTAAAACGTAGAGAAAAATATCAATTTTCAGAGATGTATAAATCACAATTACTTTCATTGTTAATATGCATGTTATTATAATTAATTAACATCATTGCACATTTTCTGATTATATTAGTTAACTGAAAATGGCTGAGCATGCAATGTGATTCTCATATTAACATGAGGAAAACTGCATTTCTCTACAGCACTATATGAATTACAGCTGTAATCCTTAAAAATAGATTGTAGCGAGCTCCAATCCTGCGATATTCTATTACAGAACAAGGAAGAATTCTCGACAAATCAATGCATTTGTTGACATTTTCGCTCTAAGGCAACCAGAATGCGTAATTGGTCTCTACTTCCAGAAAAAAAAACACACATTTGAACAGAAAAAATAGGGACTTAAATCAAGCTTCGTGAAAAGGTAAAATAATAAATTTGCAAAAAATTTACAGCTGGAATTGCGTTTTATTGCCTAGTTTTAAAGTACTCAACATTCGAACAGCGGCGCATAAAAAGCGCGCAAGTTCGAATGCCGATAATTTTAGAACTACGCAATAAAACGAAAATTCCAGCGGTAAAATTTTAGAAAATTCGATCCTGAACCCCCTCGAATCTTTATCTAAGACCCTATAGGTTTTGTGCAAATGTATGTTTTTACCGGAAGTAGGCATTTTGTGCTTGCAGGGAAACTACCTACAATAACCAATTACGCTTTTGATTGGCTTAGAGCAAAATTGTCAACAAATGCGCTAATTGGTCGAGAACGAAATCCCCCCTTTTTCTAATACAGTGAAAATACAAAAAGTTTCCCACTTCCGCTTCCATATATAGTTTGCTGTGATTTACTGTAATTTGTTCTCTTGTCTGTAGCGATTATCGATTTATTGGCAAATACCGGCGATAAAATTTAAATTTCGTTCCTTTTATGCAATGAAACTAACGAAAAATGTATTATTTCCCTTTGCTACAAATTATCATGTTTAAAAATAGAGAAAACTAAATTTTATCGCGGTATTTGCTAATATTTAGTCGCTACAGAAAAACAGAACAAATTACAGTAAATCACAAAAATTACAGAGGCGAAAATGAGACACTTTTTGTATTTTCAATGTAAAACATTCCTTTGTGGCTTTTTTACTATTAGACCGGAATAATTTACTTGCATGTTTTCCCCCCTCAGCCCCCCCCCCCAAAAAAAAACTATGTTGGATGTTTTAGCTGTTTCCTGGAAGTTAAATCAACATTGAATGTTCGGGGGGGGGGGGGGAGTTTTTCTAAATTTGCGACAATGTTACGAAATTTTATCAACTCATTGGAAGTGACGCAGATGTTTTGTCGACGTTGATGATGACAAGCTTTTTTAAAAACGTCTAAAGAGGGTGCATTTCGATACTACTTACAGCCAGTGGTTGTACAGCCTGATATTTATTGCTTTCAGGATAATCTGCTTTATTTTTTCAAGTAAATCATCAAACTCTTTGGTGACTCCACCATATTGCTGTGCTTTAATGGCATTCGTTGTTGACATAAACACAATTTGATTGTCCAGATTTGCTCCTGGCCAGCATTCTTTCAATTTTTTGACTACATATTTCTTTGTCTCATCTCGTTGATCTTCAGGCACTAGATCCCACTTATTGCACACAAAAAGGGAACATTCTGCCAAGCGGTTATTTTCTTCACTACCACCTTCGAGTGATTCTACTTTTTCGTGAATTTTTTGCAACTAAATGTAAAGGATGACTTAATCACTCTAGAATATAGATATAGCTTTCGAGTTAGAGGATACTAGGATAACGAGTTTCAGGAAATGACAAAGTTTTATTGTGTTAATTATACGTGCATATTCATGTACTATTTGTTAATGTTATATGAGTATTTGTAATATTTTAGCTTCTTAATAACCTTCGTTTTTGAAATAAATCTAAAATATCTTATTAAAGGAATACTTATAGAAAATTGGTAAGAATTAAAGATGGACTTGATAGACCCTGCATATAATATATTCATGCATTTGTTAATGTTATATGAGTATTTATAGTGTTCTTTTAAATTAATAACGTTCTATATTTTTTGTTCTTTCATTTTGAATGTGTATTCCATATTAAGTTTTTCTATATTTACCTTGTCTTTCAAATCTTTCTGCAATCCACCAGCATTTGTAACATTAATGACATACATAAATGCAAAAGCATTTGGGAGATAATTCATCAACACTTGATCCATATCATCCGATTCACCTAGACCAGGACTGTCAATTATAACAACGCCTTTCTAGAATAAAAGGAGATCATGCTAGTATCCATTACTTTTTAACATTTCAGTATGTCAAAACATCAGACAGTCAGACTACAGGATTAGAAAATAATTACGTTATTAAGTTAGAATGCACTGGTAAATTGAATTATACCCCCGCTAGCGAATAAAGATGTTTGTTCACAATATTTATCATTTTTAGAAATACAAAAAGACGCAGTCTTTACAGCGATCTTAATAACATTTGTATTATTTAATAGCCTGAGAAAAATTAGGTATTCGATTGGTTCATTCTATTGCTAAGTCAATATTCTCAAATGAACATTTTATGATATATTAAATAAAAATCTTCTACTTCTGATACTGAATCAATACGTCCAAAACTTCTGTAATCTGATTGGTTAAGAGGAGTACATTTATTTCATTAATATATTGCCCTCTCCAGGAATGCAATTAATGAATTTGGTGATGGCAGAGGGGAGCTCGAACGGGAAATCAAACTACAAAAATCCAATATGGCGGTGAATTTTATCACTAAATTTTGGCACAAGAATTAATTTAATTAAAAAACATATATGACAAAAAGACCCTATGGAAACCTATAATCGGTGTTAAGAAGTAATCTTTGCAGGATGCAGCGAAACGTGATTATATATATGCAAGTCTTTTACTCTAAAATATGTCGTTTGAATTTGAATCGTGCGTTGTAGTTTAAGTTATATGCCTTTATGAATTATAATCATTTCCCAAGTTTGTTTATGCCAAATTGCTTACAAAGGAATTAAAAACTCTTGACAAAATGCAGTTGAATTTTGAAGAAAGCGATTTGTCATATTCACATAATAAATACGTAATCACAATGGCAAGTCGTGCAATTAATGATTAACACCACTCGTGATATTTGAAAAATGTGCCAAATGCACTTCCCTGGCGGTTAATTCGTACAATTTTGGCACATTTTTCAAATATCACTCGTAGTGTTAATAATTAATCGCACTCCTTCCCGTGTGATTACCTTTACTAATTGATCAGTAATAAAGCCATGTTGTACGCGAATCTAAACAAATAATATGTGAGAGAAACCTTTTATGATCCGTTTTTTATATATCTATAAAAAAGTAAAACGTCAAGGCCTTATGCTTATACGTGAGTATTTGTTTAAGTTCACAGTATAGCTGGATCTATTAGTTGTTCACTAAAGCTGTTTCAAAAATCTTCAGTTATGTAGTTTGGCTGGCATCATTTTTGACGCAAACCCTATATGTTACCCCTAGTTACTATGGCAACGACAAATGTAGAAGTGACTGATCCTATCTGAAGTAAGCATAATTTTTCTTATAGTATAGTCATCCACCATATATAAGCTATATTGCAACCTGATTGGTTGAGCTACCAAACTTTTTCAGCTTATATACGGCGAGCAGCACAAACCGAAATGGCGGCACAAAAGCAAAACAAGATGGCGGCACAAAAACTGCAAGAGCTTTGCGAATCATGATGAATATATCAGAAAAAGTTTGTTCGTTCACTGTAACCAAGTATATTAAATTAATCATGTTTTCGCTCGCTACTCTGGTTTAATTAATGATTACAAAGCCCAGTCGAATTGTAATCAAGACCCAACGTTTCGACACTCCAGTCTAGTGTCCTCATCAGGGGTGATCTAAAGTTACAATCGTGGCTTCTTAAATACCAAAGGGATGACGTCATCTGCCAATGAGATGCATGTATTCCTCTGAAAAATAGGCATCGTCATCCCTATCAAAAGCATGAACATCCCTATTCAAAGCAAAGGGATAAATGTGCCTATTTGCCAGAGGAATACATGCATCTCATTGGCAGGTGACGTCATCCTTTGGGTATTAGACAGATTTAGAAAAGACGACGCGACCTCAAAGACAACGTGAAAATGACGTATGCACCTCGACCTCGCGTTCACTTCCGGATTTTAATCTGGGACGGCTTATTTGTCTTTTTCGAAGCAAATTTTTGGGTTTTTTGTTGTCTGCTCATTCCTGTATTGTTTTCAATTAGTTGCGAAGTTATGTGCAAGAAAAGGCTATATAATACTGGCCAAGTGTTTCCTGATGAATTAGTATGAACATTCAATAAGTTTTTTTAGAAAAAGACGTATATTTCGGTATTTTGAAAAGTGAACTTTGTTGCATCATTCGGAATAAATACAATAACTGCAAGTATTGTTTACAAGCTAAATGCTTTAGTTTGTAGCCTATTCAATCAAATTTGTCAACTGTTTAGTATAAATATGGCACCAGTGCTTTTATTGGTAAAATTTAATACTGTTTACGATAGTTTTTCACGCTGGAAAGCGGTTTTTTACTTGTCCTACTTTTTTGCTATGTTGAGAAAGAGCAACTAAAATTGATTGAGTTTTTACTGCTTTTAAAACTTGAAAGTGCTTTATTCTTCTATCTTCCCAAGTTTTCCTGATTTTAAACAGTTGTAACAGTTTGTTCTAAAATGTTTGTTTTGGTGAAGAATACTAGCGGTATTGAAGTGGTTATTAACAATGCTTGCAGTTTTGTTGATTTGTTATGGCGACCGAAAGTATTTGTTAAAAATTAAGACGTTCAAAATTTAGCGAAATACAAGAAACACAACTTTGTGAATGAAAAACCTTTAACTAGAATCATTAAACGATACATGGGGAATTTTATCATGCATATTATACTCTCATATTTTTTTCAAAAGACGCATAAATCTGTGACGTTCTAGAGAGAACGTGGACATTGTATTTTCGCGTCGTGAAATCGTCCAAGACGACGTGGCATGCAAGCCAGAAGCTGACGATAGTTGGCGCCAAATGACGACATCCACGTCGTCTTTGAGGTCTTTTCTAAATCTGTCTATTTAAGTTGCCACGATTGCAACTTTAGATCACCCCTGATGAAGACACTAGACTGGTGTATCGAAACGTTGGGTGACTTGGATCTTGATTACAATTCGACTGGGCTTTGTGCCTTTGTAATCATTTATAAATTTTTAAATTTTTTATATACTTTATACTTTATTTAGAAATGGTAAATACATTGCAGCTATGGGCTGAATTGCGTATTATACTTACAATTAAAAATTATTAAAATTAGAGTTTTGAAATATATCAAAGTATTATAATTAATTAACTAAATTGTCAAAAGTGTCTATTTATAATAAGCATGCAAAAGTTATTAAGAATATAAAATAGGTAAATGAAGAGTAAAACCTATTCAGTTTTGCTACTCGATGCCATAATAAAACAATTACTAAACCGATTGGTTTTACAAACTGGAACGTCAAATGATCTAATAGATCTCAGGTCGTGGATGGAGTTATGCTTTGGTGGCAAGAGATAATGTAGACTGTGATTAGAATCTTTGATATATAATTGCATTAAACAATTTCTTGCAGCTGTTTTGATGGTGAGTGGAAAGATGTACAATTCCACTGAGATTTAAAGCTTCCTCATATTTCAAATGGGGATAAATAATTCCAAATACGCGTTTCTCGACTCGTTCCAAATCTTGAATTAAATACTTGGGTAGGCTGTAGTGGAAAACCGGGACAGCATAGTCCAACACAGATCTTATACAGGTTATGTAAAATGTGATTAGTTCTTGTATTGGGATTTTTGCTCTCTTAAGTTGAATAAGGAAATATATCCTTTTGGAGGATTTCTTGACTAATTCAGTGATATGTTTATTCCACGTAAGGTTGTTGCTAATGTTAAGACCTAGCACTTTAAAATCGGATACAACTTCTATGATTTGATTCTCAATTGAAATTGGGTTAAGCTCGGGTTGATTCCGTGCAAAAGAAATTCGTATCTCCTTACATTTATCAGCATTTAATTGCATTCTATTGATATTGGACCAATCTAAAATTTCATTTGCAATCAGTTGAGCTTCACTGTGCTCGCCTTGCAATACAACTTCCGACGCAGTGGTATCGTCAACGTATTTCCATAAGTTCTCACTATGTTTCTTCAAATCATTAATCATTATTAAGAAGAGCTAAGGGCCTAATTTGGTTCCTTGAGGAACACCAGCCGGTACTTGGCCCCATTCAGAAAGGCAACTATTTGACAGCTTAACCCTTTGAAATCTATCCGATAAAAAGTCGATAATCCAGTTGATGATACTAGTTGGTAAATCTAAAGCACCTACTGTAACTTGATCCTTAGGATACTATGATCGATGAAATCGAATGCCTTTTTATAGTCAAATAGAAACACTCGGAT